GTAACTTTAACGAAAAATATGCGTGTGTGAGTTTTTGGTTGTCCAATAATGTTGGAACGTCGCCTTATGAGATGTATGATGGTTTGAACAAAAGGAGCGGAATAATTTAGTGGGTAAGGGGGATGGATGCCCCACCCCTTAATGTCTCCTTATGAAAATCCAAAAATAAGAGAGACAYCCGTCAAATCAAAATCATCTTATCATGATATCAACTCTATCGTCGCTATAATGTAATTGACAATTTTACACCATAAAATTATAAGAAACGAAAATCATAAAAATACATGAAATCATATCCGGTAGTTATTAAAAGGTAGGAAGATTTTTGATAGCCACGTAGTGGTGGCCTTATTTAATAATTTATCCAAACCACACTTACCAGTGTGACATAGTACTAGCCACTTAGCATGTAAAATGACAAACATCAGGCTCTCACCTTTTTCATACCAATCAAATATCACTTGCTCCCATCAAATTTTTCTGAATCATTGGATCACAATTATATTTCTCAGTAACTCAAAAACAAGAACAAAAAAATTAAAGTAGGTCGTGATTCGTGAATGATAATGAGAGGGAAAGTGAATTTTGTTTAGGCATGGACTCATAAGTTGATCGTTGGCGACATGTCGTGTAAAAATCGAAACTGATAGTGGCGCGTCAAAGAGCCTTGCAGCAATAAATCTTATATGCCATCATTTTCCAGAATAACATGCTAAGTTTATTTTTTCTGAAAAAGCTGACTGCTTTTCTTTTCTTTTTCTCTCTTTAATTTTTGGGTTTTTTCCTAAATTGATCTTAGCTGTCTTTCAAGTTTCATGATGTTTGAAGTTTTGTGTTTTCTTCGTCTTCTTTCCAGTTAGAGAGAATGGATATGGATGCCCAATTATTTGGCAGTAAATCTGTCTCCATCATCTCTATCTCTATATCATTTTATCACAATTTAAAAAAAAAAAGCCTATGGTCTATGTGGATTTGTCAAAGGATGGTTACATGACGTGAGATTTTGTCTCAAACACGTCAATATTGCATTAATTAGAAAATTTCATTCAAGGTATCTGCTTTTTTTATTTTTACATTAAATGTTTAAATATCTTTTCTTTTTTATTTCTCGATGTCGTGTGATTTAGGTTGAGGATCCTTATAACTGGTGTTCGTCGTCTGAATTAAATAATACTATCACTAAAACAATAAAATTTTGAATTTAGGTCAAATTTCAAAGCAACAATATTAATTTGTAAAATAGCAAACCGACAAAATAGCAATAATATGTGAATCTATCTTTTTCCTTTTTTTTACTAATAATTAAGTTTTTATTTTGACACATTTTTTTTAACAATCCATTTTAGAATTATTCTTTTTAGATAATTCAACCTGTCACTGTACTACAAAAAATGCTGATAAAGGGAGGTTCATAACTATTAGGGTGGCTTTAAATATAAAACTACATTCATATATTAATAAATAAGTTTTTTTTTTCCTTGGACATCAGATTTATTAGAGAGGGTGTGAGCCAGAACCACTTGTTTTGAAAGATATTTCCAAAGCCCTTCTTTGGTGCAGTTTTCAACCGTTTTGACGTAATTTATCAAAGCTTTGGAAGTTTATGCATTTTTGGCTACACTCTCTTTTTTTTTTTTTTGAAAAACAAATTTGGTTCTCCTTCAAACTTTTTTTATTTTTTTATTTTATTTGTTTATAGCTCTTTTAATCAATACATCATGAATATTCCGCGAGCTTTTTATTCTCTTATCTATACATTAATATTTTTCTCTCTTTTCTTTTTTGGACTTATTTAAACATTAGTTGCTAAAGTTACGTTTAAACTTCATCAAAATCAGTGCTTTCCTTTAAGAGTAAGTGAGAAAAATAGAAAAATAATAACATCATATTAAGTTATTAACTTTGTCTGCTTTTCTTTTTCTTAAACCAATGAACTAAAACCAAAAGAACAAAAGGAATACGATTTAGCCATTAAAAGGCAGCTGTTTAGTGAAAATTACTTTCCCCATTCTTTTTAAGTACTTCTCACAAAGTAAACTTATATATGAATGTTGGTTTGAAATACAAATTAACCACAATATCCTTATTTCAAAATTCATTTCGTCAAGTCGCTCTAAAAAGAAGACACGTTTCAGTATCGAGAAATTTTCTATCATTACTAGTCAATATATAAAAATGTCTAGGTCTTAATTTTACAAGAATGTCAATAGAAATATTGACAAAATGTCGATGTCGATAGATATTTCAAAATAAAAAAATCATAAAAAATACTTTAATTAAAAGTTTTACTATTTATTATTAATATTATATCTACATTGGTGATATTTTTGTTGGTATTTTTTATATATATTGATGTCGAAATTCGGAGGGTCCACGTATCTTTCAATTGGGAATCGTCGAATAAGTTAACTTGCAATCTAGACATCAGTGTGGTGTCCTGTCTAATGTCCTCCAACGGTCAAGTTAGTAACTGGAAGATCTAGAGGAGGAAAACGAAAAAAGCATCTAAAATATTCAGTGACAGATTTTTCACTCACTTGTGGTTGTGATATCTTGTCTCTTTTTAAAGGTGGCGGAACCGACCAAAGAGGACGCTTGGTGTGAGGCGCAACAGTGGTTGTTTGTGTACGAGCTCTAACGGGCTATTGGGAGATATTTTCGACGCGCGGTGCCATCCTAGTCCCTACCGCACTAACCCACTGCAAATGCCTTGTAGCTAGCGTGGTGTGTCGCGTACCTGCGTGTACACTCCTACCCGACTCAGTGTCGTTCCCTCTGCTGGTCATATATTCGTCGTGGGAGTTTTGTTTCCATTGCCACATGTCGTGGCACAAGCTTTCCATATTTTCCGCTCGATTTTCACCGTCAACAATGCATGTACTTTATCAAATTTTTACAATACTATAGAAACATCGATTCAACCCCTACGTCAATCCAAAATCCCCTAAAAATATCGACAGACTAAAATATAATACCTTACAGTACCTTTCTATTATATATATTGTCAAATTATCAAATATATTTTTCTCCTATCCCGCAAAATCCGCCAGCAACGGTCCACGCAACCGTTTTTTAGCGGAGGGCAAACAAAAACTACCCTAGAGCCCCACAGGCACTTTCGGGTTGACAAGATCTGTGGCCAATCATAGCTCAAACTTGGTGGTACCTCCTTATTAAATCTCCAAACGTGAATTGCAACAGTAAAGTTATGATTTTTAAAAAGTTACCCCAAAAAAAAAAAAACCCTAATAAAATAATTGCTGCCTTTCCTCAACTTTTATTTGGGTGTGACCTCATCACACATTAATTAGGACTTACGACTTAGGCTCCACCACTACTTATTTTGTTACATTTGAAAAAAAAAAGGAATTGTTTGTTCATTCTTATCGGGAGTTTTAAACCTATGTTTTTACAATATACATATCATGTTCTGATTATAGGTCTCAATGTCGGTAAAAAAAGTATGTTTGTATCGAGAAATGAACTTTATATTAATGAATTTTTTTTAATTATTGATAGATGATTAAACTTACTAAAAGGATGATTTCAGAAAATTTTGATTTGTGTACTCAAGATTCCACATCTAATGGAAAGGAAAAAACAAAAAAGGACAAAAACCAATTTTGTTTTTTTGGATTTTACCTAAAATACATCATATCCATGAAGTTATGAGGCTGGAATATACTTCCCTAATTAGTTTGCTTAATGTAATTTTACACATTTTAAAAAGGTACTTTAACAATTGAGTTGTGTTCGTCATGTTGGCACGGTTATCGATTTCTTAAAAACTTATGGTACAATAAAGGAAGTGACAAGTTTTTTTTTTTTTAATTTATTTCATCCTTTTAGTTTACACTTTCGACTTGTGATTAGATTGGGAGGACACATTTGAGCCAAATTATCTACACATACGAAGGATTTATTAGGATCAAAATTTCTAAGACAAGTCTGCAAATGGGCTTTCTCGGAAAAGAAATTAATGAGCAAAAAGACAGTACATTAGATTGGTGTCGGCCATTACTCTTCATTTGATTAAACAACTAATTATCAGAAGTTTTGTCTCACTTTAAACGTAATTAAAAGATATTTAAGCCAATTGTGGCATTACTCTTCATTTGATTGACAACATTCATGGGCAAAAATAGCTTATAGTTGTGCCACTTGCTTGATTTTGATGCTCAAAGGCTTGGGCACAGCACACACCCAACTTTTCTTTAACTTCATTTATATCTTATTGTTTCTCTTTCTGAAAAAGAAACCAACTTTCCCACCCAATAATTAAATAAATAACGAAAAATAGCAATGAGAGACGTACAATGGCTCTTTAAATCCAAATGGGAAGTGACCCAATTTTAGAATGATGGACAAAACTAACTCAATAGAGGCTATACCCTACAAAATTAAATTCTCTTTTAATTTCATTAAAAAACAAAACATAAAAAAGTTAAGTAATGTTGGGTATATCAGATATATGATACACTCTTTTTCATTTAGTATAGATTTAAGAACTAAGGTGGTTTTGATAGTTTTTTCTCTCTCTCTTTTTTTAAGTTTCATGTTTTAAAATGCTCGTTTGAGTATTTTGGACCTGATATTATATTATTATTCTTAGATTCCATCTCAAACCAATTGATAACGAGATGAATAATCTACATAAACCTTTGATAGGTCTCTTATCTTATCAATGTGGCGTCTTCCTCGCTTGAGCATATTCTTAATTTTTTAATTTGCAGCCATAACAACTAAAAGAAGGGAGTTAAGCAGTGGAGAAAGTGAAAGGAGCTTTATTTTATATGATGACCGAATGTTTTGACCTCTTCAAAATACCATTATTCTCATCCATTATTGCCCCTTCAATTTTCAAAAAGCAGTGTACAATATTTATTGCAAATTTATTCAATATTCCTTTGGAATATGTAGGGATGAGAATCAGAGTTTAATTTTTCATCAAAATCTCTTCATAATTACTTTAATCGATGAAATTTAAATTGGTGCCAATTCAGTTATTTATAACTATGGTAGAGAATTCAATAAATAAATAAAAGACAATATAAGATCTTTTCTTTTGTATAGTTTTATTTTATTTATTTTTTTCTTTTTAAGTTTTAGAGTAACCTTGGTGATCTATGATGGGCCGTCATTTCAACCGTGATCTTTTGCGGAGCATTTGATACTGGGCTCTTCCGGCCCCTTGAATTTACTGGGCCCGATTTGACTAAATTGGGCCTTGTGGATCCAATTCAGTAGCAGCAGCTTTCAACTACGATCTTGGCCGTGGTGGGTTAACACCATGTGAGAAGATATATTTTCACAAATTGAAATATTCGATATTAGTATAAATAATAAATTAATATTTTAGAGAATGTCAATATAACTCAACATTGGTATGTACTTTTTTTTAGGTTGAACTTTCAATCAATTATGGGACCAAAGTAAAATAGTATTTTAACATTTATTTTATTTTAATCTGATGTACTTTTAAAATATATTTTGATTCTTATTTATATTTTTTATCTCATTTCTTTCCTTTATAATTTTAGTATCAAATTTCATTAAATAAACTTTTGATATGTAGTCATAATATTTCATTAGAACATTTTCATTCGGTATAAAATTTGTATTGAAAATAGAACCAAATTGACCCCTTTTTAAAAATATAGAAATGAAAACATAAGTTTTTTTTAAATAATATTAGAAAAAACTAAGATTTTGATTGAATTTTGATATGAAATTATGAATTATGAGAATTTAATGTTTTTTTAAGGAAAATATGTTATTATTCTCGGTATTATTATTATTTTTAATTGTTTATTGACGTCGTGTTATCAAATTCATAAGTGAATAAATGCATTTTCTCAGGTCACCAATCTGGAAACAAAAAGAAAATAGGAAAATCAGGGATGCTGCCACGTGTCAGATTAGGTGTTGTGTTACTGATCATAGATGGCGACGGGCCCACATTTTGAGGCAATGGACTTTCTTTAATTATCTCAAAATTAGGGAGTCAAAGTCCAAGATACCCTCCTCTCTTTCCCTATTCACACCCCTAAAGATACTTTCTTTCTACCCTTTTCACACTTACCTTCTCCGCACTTAACTAATTTTGAAATTCTTAGCAGACAAAATCACTCCAATAAATAAATTAGATACAATTTTAAAGAGTGTCAATTTTTTTTTTCCAATATTGCATAAATTTAGACTCGTAAATTATATTTAAGTTTTGGCTTTGATTTGGATTAGATTCCTTTTATAAAATGGTAATTTTTATGAAAATAGATATTCATTTTATTATGTTTAGGTAAATGCTTCCCATTAATATTACAATTCAAACAAAGTGTTGAGATTTAAATGATTAACAAATAATCATGTTACATAGAATCTTTAGATATCAATTTGAAAGGAGCATCTACTATTTATGTAGAATATTGTCACTCATTGTTACTAAAAAAACGGAAAGAAACCTTAAAAACGAGGATGAAATATAACCAAGGTATATATTTTTTATTAGAAGTTGAATCAATCGTATTTTGATTTAAGTTCCTTTCTTTCTAAGAGGTGGAATAGTATAATGTAAGTTAAACTTGCCAAGTTAACTAACCTGAAATAAATATAAAAATATATAGTATTGTTAGAATCGTAGTATTCGATTAAAAAAAAGTATTATCCTTTGCCGAAAAAAGAAAAAAAGTACCATGACTAAGTAGAAGTTATATACCACCTAAATAGTATTGACAATATCTTTAATATGTAAAAAACTAAGAAAGTTTAATGTACAATAATGTGGACAAATTCATATTTCATTTTAATTTTTAAACACTTGCAAGTTACAAATGCTCATTTTAATATTTAAGAAAGTTTAATGTAATAGATGCTAAGGTTAAGATATCATTTAATTGGTTTCCTTTCAGTTTTTCAAACAAAAAAATTATTTTCTTTTTGTCACTTCAATTTAAAAGGTAAAATATATTAAATAATCCATAAATTTTTAAGTAGTTTTTAATTGGGTATTAATCTTTTAAAATTATGAATTTTACGATTAATCTATTTAAATTATCAATTACATCATTACATAAATATATATATATATATATATAATTTGTTAACAACAAGTTGATAAATCATGAAATTATTTTTTTAAGAATATATTTGTGCGTGTTAGACGTATTACTTAAATATTAGCTAGCATTTTAACGAAATTTATTTATTTCAGGTGATATATCTAAGTGATATGTCCATGTCTATTGTGTCTACAAACAATTAGTAAATAAATTTAATGACACATTAACTTTCGTTTACTATATAGTTTTTTATTTAAAAGAATAAAATATCAAGGACCAAATTTCATAGATCATTTGGGTACATTTCTAGCCAATTTGAAAAGGTTATTTATTATAATAATGTTGTAACGATACAGTGGCTTTGATGGCAATAAAATATCTATATAGTTATATTAATAAGAAATTCGTAGGATAAGTCTCAAACAATAAGTTGATAATTAGATGTATTTTATTAATATTATATAATATGTGAGAAACATTTGGTTCAACCTCCATGTTATTCTCTCTCTTATGAAAAGGCCTTCCTCTTTGTGCTTATCCTTTCTAAATAGTTTCATATGGAATTTATTTCCAAATTCAAAGTATTTATCCCTTGAAATTTTAGTCTAGATATTGTTTGTTTTGAACATAAACTTTATTTTTATTTTACGAAATATCTCGTACTAATTATCTTTATCTATATATCATAAATCATTCATTGTCTAGTCAATGTAAAGTTTTGTTTGCATTTCCCTTATAAATCGGACAATCCTCCCCTCGAACAAAGTATCATCGAGTAATCAATCATCGATTTACTCTCTCGAATCATAATGAGGGAGTTGGCTCTTATCTGATACTCCACATAATCATTATCATACTATGACTACATCTTTCGAAGCTCACTGCTTCTTTATCCAACATCAGAGAATTTTAAGCACACAATTAGGTATTTTCACCATGACTAAACTAGTTGCAATATTTATACTTATGGTAAGTTTTAAAAGCATGGGTTTAATTATTCGTACAGTCGAAATATAAGCTAAGAAAGACTTTATTACTGCAAAGGTGGAATTAGTAAAATAAATTAAAATTACAGAAACATTTTTGGAGAATAAAATAATATTATGGTCGGTATTCAATCTTTTAATTTGTCAAAACGGCGACTCAGATAGATGAGCTTCCCCAATCCCCAGGAACAATTCGTATAGCGACCAATTTTGTAGGACTGCCACGTGGGACACCGTGGCGTCCTCCGTGGCGCCTTCCTTTCACTTTCCCAAATTTCCCTCCTCTCTATATAAGAAATTCCTCCCTCAATTCTGGATTCCTCTCCCGAACAAAACACCGAATCGCCGATCGTAACCGTAAGAAAACAGCGATTAATCGATGGGTAACTGTTGCAGAAGCCAGTCCTCTACATTGGTGTGGGCCGGAGACGATTGGGGCTCCTTCAATTCCAAGCACGGCCGCGGCGGAAACGCAACCACGTCCGGCGGCGATACTGAGAAGCAGAGGCTACTTGGCCCAAAAAAAGCAGCGGCAACGGCGGCGGCGGGGGAAGTGAAAATCAAGATGACGAAGAAAGAGCTGGAGGATCTGGTGGAAAAGCTAGAGAAGCAAGGGCTGAGCCTGGAAGAAGTTATTGGGCGGATGGTGAAGGGCGGCGAAGAAGATGAATATGAAATGGAGCACCACCGCTCATGGAGGCCTTCTCTTCAGAGCATTCCAGAGGATTACTAAAATCCACACCCAAATCAATTCTCTTTATTTCTTATTTCTTTTTGTAAAAAGAAAGAAAGAAAGGATATTTATTAATTCTATTGCACAAAAATTCAATTTAGTTTTTTCTTTTGCGTACATGTAAATTAGGCGGAAGGACTAAACCAATAATTTAGCCTTAAATTTAGTTTTTATTTATTTGACTAGGTTCGATTAATTAATTTCAGAAGGCATTGTCTCCTCCAACACACTTTCCAGCAGTAGAGTATAGTATACTCGACACTTTATTGAAATAATTTAAAAGTATAACAGATCATTAAAGACAGCTCATTGACCCAAATTATGGAAGGTTTAGATTAATCATCATTTGTTTTGGAAGCATGCTTTAGATATAACAGACTATATCCAATTTCCACCCCTTTCTCATTCTATGAATTCTTTTTTTTTCTTCCTTTCTTAATAGGGATAATGGAAATAGCTCCCTAACACAATCTGAAAATTTAACATTTTAAGGTTAGGTATAAGGGACCACCCTCTATCTCGATATTTGTCTATTTCATTTTTAGTTGCACTCATTTTCTTGTCCCACCCTCTGTATGGCAATTTGTCTATTTTAAACATAAATAAGTCTTCCTCTTTTTTAATTGAGCGTATTTCTCGAAATACCCATTTTATACGTGGAATTATAGTCTATTTTGTATAATGTAATAAATTTTATGTTTTCTAAATTTGGTCCGTGATCTGTATATGCATACTTTAAAAGAAAAGTGGTGTTTTAACTGCTGAGCTCATATTCACAAATAACACGGAATAGGATAAAAAAGAATTAGGGTTCAAACTAAGTCATAGAATTATCTAAACATATACTCGGACTTTCTCCTTTCAAAAAGTTCCGACGAGAAAGATTGAACAGCAAACTGATTTGAACTAAAACCCGAGGAAAATTGTGGTGTCAAAATTATTATTATTATTATTATTATTATTATTATTATTATTATTATTTTTTAAAACCAAACTATGCTCAAAATCAAGCTAAGATAAAAAATTTATCGATATTTTGAAAAGTTAATGTGCACCTTAATTCAGGAGCCAAACATTTGGAGTTGCCTCAATTAATTAAGGTCATCTTTATTACGGCTGGACACAAGAAAATTTAATACCTGCCAGCTACACTGCCCATTTCATTCATTTCAGATGAATAATAGGCCACTCATACTTATCAATGTTAAATAATAAATGTGCATTAAAATTTTCACAAAACCCTGTTTCATCTTAAATGCACCAAAAATCATTCAATTCCTTGCATACCATAATCTACTGCAATTTAATTTAAACCATCCAACACAATTATCACTCAATTTCAGCAACTTATTATTGCAAATGCAAAATAATTTCTCGTCAATGATTAATGGGGGCTACTACATTCGTCTCTGTCTTTTCAAATTTAAATCTCTTTTTTTTACCTTCCCTTTTAAATAAATGAATTCTAGAGTGTTTCCTTTTAAATTGCATTATTATCCCAAGAATTTAAATGTCAAAATTTCTACTTTTCCATCGACCATTGAATAAACTAAAATTTGTAGATAAATACATCAATTATAAATTTGGTATAATATCGATAAAATACTCGACCAACATGAGGATAGCTCAGCAATTAATCAAGACATCCTACTTCTTCTCTAAAGGTTGAGGTTTCAATCCCCGACCTTCACATTTGTAGTTCAAATATTTGTGCCTTTTTCAAACTTTCCTAAATGTTTTTAAAATACTATGTGGTAATTAACGTGTAAGGAGTTATCCTAACGACGAAGCTCATCACTTCTTTGTTTGGCACCTAAGTATTTCACCGATACAACTAGGTTTAAATCATGGCTCTAATACCACTTGTTAAGGATAATGGTACCCTTGCACCCCAAATATCTTCATTTGTTCGTATTGGACATAACTCTCACGACTTTGTTTTTTATTTCACCCAAAAGTCTCATACCAATGAAGATAATTGTTCTCTCCTATATACAACTACATCCCCTAGCCAAAGTGTGATTAAATCTAACTGGTAAACACATGAGAAGTAATATATGTTGACAATGGGAGAAGAAAACTTTTAGTGCAAAATTAAGTCGAAAAGAGAGGAACAAAATTATTAACTGATGTTTGCTCAAAGAATATTGTTGAAACGTGTTCGAAAGGTCAAGGTAGTCCTCAAGGGATAGCATGAGGCCTCAAGGAATATCCTTAAAGTCTTGGGTTCAAGCCACACGGAACGGAACCCCACCAAATAACGTGAAATATAGGGGCATAGAGGCCAAAGTAGTATTGAAATTAGGATATTTTCGTAATTTAGCAAAAGATTTGTTGATTTGGGCCGAGCCCAATAGAATGCAGGAGAAACCAATAGGCGTGAGAGAGAGGAGGAGTGGAGTTATGAGGCGTGCGAGATAAAAAGGTTAGGAGAAGGCAGCTGCTGCCATTAATGCAATTTCGTTCTTCTTCCATTTCCATCTGAAAATTTTCTTCTTTTTCTTGCAATTTGCAATTAGCAAATGCAGATCTGTCTGTGTGTGGGGCCTTCCAGCCAGCTGCTTTCGTCCCCACACACTTTGAAGCTCATTCATGGCTTCTCTACTCTACACCCTTTTCTCTCTCTTCTTCTCTCCCTCCTCTATCTCCCCACCTTCTCAATTTCTTCACTCACTCAACCACTACCACTCCCCGAATCCCAATTTTGATGCTTCTTCTTCTTAACTTAACCCTTTTCACTCTCTTTCTCCCGGTTCCAATTTCTATTCCTTCTGCTTTCTGGGTGCTTGTTTCCAAGTCATAGAGAGTGTAAACTAGAAGAAAAATGGAGGACAGACCTTCTCTTAAGCTCACCCGCTATTTCTTTCTTCTCCAGGCGTTACTCCTGCTCCTCTGTGAGTGTTCCCAGTCCTTTTCTTTTTGCATTTTTCTATGTGGGTTTTGTCTCTTTGTACTCGATCTGTTGGCTTTTCTCAAGCTCATTCTCTTTTTTTTTTTCCCGACATTCTTGATTTACTTCCTTCTCTGTTTATTTCTTTGATAGGAAAGTTAAAGAAACAACACCCAGATTTAAAATCAGCTTCTGTTACCATATTTTGCTCTGTTATTAACTGAACTTCTTTCTCTCTCATTTTATCTTCGGCTGGATTAAATGATTAGTCATCTAGCTGTCATTGCTGTGGTAATGGGTAGCTTGCATTTTTTTTTTTTTTTTTTGATAAGGCAGAGGATACGAGCAAGATCTTATTGGGTTCTCTACTAAATTTATAACTTGAGCGTATATAGACAGCCCGGCGAAATAATTTAACTCCACATTCTGGAATTTATATTTACATGTTGACTTGAAAGAACTATTGAGAAACATAGTTATTCTTAGCCGTGTTATTTATGTAGAATCAAGACCCATTAATGTATCTGAAAAATTAGGGGAACAAATTGTAAGCAAGAAAGTAAAACCAAACCCAAAGCATGTATGTTATCTCGCTTAGATAATGTTACATTCTTACACCTTCTGGTGTTCGTACTGAGGAATTGATGCTTGATTTAGTAGATTTTCGTAAGGTTCACAAATGGAACAGTAACTGTAAATAGAAAAAGATTAGCGAGAATGAAGTTCCTGAAAGATATGTGTATAAACATATTGGTAGTATTCAAATAGCTGTGCTTGCCAACTAGCTCTGCGTTTGCCAAGAAGTTGTGAAGTTAAGTTACTTCTTAGAACAGTTTTTGGAAGAGGCCCACCCAGGAGTCATTCATCAAGTCAAAATTGTATAGGGTCGAAACAGATTGGTTTGGCCCACCCGTTACCATTAACAATAAACATTTAAATTAGCCATGGACGAATTTAGATTTTATATTATTTTCCAAATGTATTTTTGACAATCAGATATTTTATTTTCCATTGAAATGGAATATGAAATAGCATGAAGCTGTTTGTAACAATATTTGGATTTCTCTGTAACCTTACCACCAAAAAAGCTTCTAGAACCATTCATTTTCTATGAATTTCATGGGGATTAGTTGACCAAAATATCACTTGAAATTAGTGAACTAGATCCTTGCTAATGTCATTGCCAATATATTACCCATATCTGGTATTGCATCATGTGGCAAAAAAACTATCAATGAAAGTTTTGTTTAGTATAAATATACCCTTTAAAAAGGATTCTGTTCGTCTCTCAAATCAAAATGTTTATGCCACTTAAAACTGCAGAACATCATTATAAAATGAACTAAGAAAAATTTGTATACAAAGATTGGTACTTATATATTGAATACTGTATCATATCTTACTAGTTCTTTGTTGCAGATTTCCATGGAACTAGCTGCAGCCCGTCGACTTATCCAATACGGCATCTTTCAGAAGAGAAACCAATGGATGGGATTTACCCCGAGATTGCACCGAGTGGAAATCCAAAGCCATTTATTCCTCTTCTTGCCCCATCTCCATTGGTACCCTTCACAAATACCACTGTCCCAAAGTTGTCAGGTTTATCATTTTCTATAATCAGTTTTACTTTATCATAAACTTTATGCCCATTGGTTGTCTAGAAAGAGTTGGTTTTTTTTTATGTGATTGATATTGACTTTTTTCAGTTTAATCTCTCATTTTTTCTTACAGGACAGTGTTTATTGAACTTTTCTGCAACTGAAACTTTGATGAGTATGACTGCCATTGATTGTTGGGCTCCTTTTGCACAACAGATGGCCAATGTTATTTGCTGTCCACAGTTGGAAGCTACTCTTGCCATCCTTATTGGTCAGTCCAGTAAAGATACTAATGTTCTTGCTTTAAATGGGACGCTTGCCAAATATTGCCTCTCAGATATTGAGCAGATTTTGGTGGGGCAGGGTGCAAGTGACCGACTTAAGCGCATATGTGCAGTTCATCCAGCAAATCTCACTGAAGGGTCATGTCCAGCCAAGGATATTAGTGAATTTGAGATGACCGTTGACACCTCTAAGTTACTTGCTGCATGTAATAAAATTGATCCTGTGAAAGAATGCTGCAATGCAATCTGTCAGAATGCCATTTCAGAAGCCGCTACAAAAATAGCAATGATATCTACTGATTTCTTGGGTATGCCTGGATCTCAAGTCTTGCCCGAACAATCATCTAGGGTTCGTGATTGTAAAACTATTGTCCTCCGATGGCTAGCAAGCAAACTTCACCCTGCTAATGCCAAGGAAGTTCTTAGAGTACTGTCCAATTGTAATGTGAACAAAGGTGAGCTTGGAAGTGAAATCTTTTGACATTACAATATCACTTCTATAATTCATCATATCTCTATGTATTTATAGTAATCATATGCCCTCTTTATCATGTTCACTCTTGTCTTTTCGCTCGCCACTCACTGCTAATGCTAATATCTGTAGCTGCCACATTATCGTATATGCATGCCTCTTCACAGATTCTCTCTGTGTTATCCTCAGTTTGTCCTTTGGAATTCCCAAACATGACCTATGTTGCCGATGCTTGTGGTAATGGGATCACTAATCAGACAGCATGCTGCCTGGCCATGGAAAGCTATGTGACCCATCTGCAAAAGCAGAGCCTTGTAACCAACTTGCAAGCTTTGGACTGTGCTGCATCATTGGAAATGAAGTTAAGAAAGTCAAAGATTACCAAAAACGTGTATGGCCTATGCCATATAAGCCTTAAGGATTTCTCCCTTCAAGGTCTGTAGCTTTTATCCTCTTATATTACCAGATCTAAACAATTCCTTCTTGACTAATTTCACATGGATTCTAATACTTTCTTTTTTCCTCATCGTGCCCATTTTTTAACACGATAATGGATCTACAACTTTGAGCATCTCAGTTGGAAGTCAAGGTAATATTTCTAGGCATACACTACAGAAATATGCTAAAAAATGATGATCGTCATGTATAAAAATTTACTTATTCCTTCTTCTTGCAAGCTAACATTTGTTTAGATCATTAGCTTTTGTTGTCTTAAAAATTATAAGTAGATATACTGTCGGGTTGGCTTTATGCTTTTTAACCACGAAGGATTGATATCAGAGCATGGGTACTATACCAGAATGCAGATTTTTAGCCAACTTTGGAAATTCAAATGTTTCAATTATGACCCTTACGTTCACCTACTTTCCTACTCCTTTTCCTTCTCCTCACTCTCTCTCTCTCTCTCTCTCTCTCTATCTATCTTTCTCTCTCTCTCTAATGTTTAGCGTTGACTTATGTTTTTCTTCTTGGGCAGAGTTTGGATGTCTTCTACCAAGCCTGCCTTCAGATGCCATATTTGATCCATCTTCAGGGATCAGCTTTGTTTGTGATCTGAATGACCATATTCCAGCTCCTTGGCCTTCTACTACATCTCAAATGACAGCTTCATCATGTAATAAAAGTAAGACAAACTTTTTTACTTCCAGTATTGGGTATTGAGTATAAAATATAGTTCTTTAACAAGTTTCCCATCCTTATAAGAAAACATTGTTTCTTAAATTCCTAATTTCTCGCCTTTTCAACTGCAGCTATCAAAATTCCTGCACTTCCTGCAGCAGCATCTGCTCAAAGTGGTAGTTATATTCTTTAACCATCCTAGAATTTCTCTACAATAACTGAAATACTCGAGTACTGAAACTAATGGTCATCTTGAGAGAGTAGTTTAGTTTCATAATCCCTAAATTTTTCCATATTAAAATATTTCTTTTATTGAGCCTATGTGGTATATAAACATTTGCCAATCATAACCCCACCCACAAATAAATTATACAAATGTAGATTTCTATGGTCCGTTCTTTTACACGATCATTACACATGCTGATTTTTCAATTTGAAACTTCATGAACCCAGGCTTGTTAAATTGGTGAGCCAGACATTCCCACCAATTTCCAAACAAGTTATTTGTGTTCTTACGAATTCTTGGGATGCGTTTCAATTGAAGTTTGAACTTTATCCCGCACACAAAATAACAGAACTTGATACCATGCTTTAGGAACCTGGCTCAGGTGACATAAAAAGAAGTCTCTAGTGATAGTTGTGTAAATATTGCACATATTGGTTGAGTTGGTTGACTCAATCAAAGTGCCTTTCTGTTGAACATATTTCAGGTGTTTTTTGTGCAACACTTTAATAACATTTTGCTTTAGTTTCGTAAATCTGAAGTTCCTCAACTTTATGCCCCAACTGTTGCAGGCCTTTATAATGATGATGTGCTACATGTCTTGCTCATTGCTTTCTCAGTGGCCCTCATGATGCTCATTTAGCTTTTTTATTGCTCTCTTTGGAGAAGACCGTGTCAAGTCATCATAAACAAGGATGCCATTTTCATGAAGCTTATGACAGAGTCTTGTATCCTCAGAAGTTCGATCCTTGTGAATATTTTTAGATGTTCTGAATGTGGGAGAAATTTGAGTTGGAAAAATGGTTTCAAATTCCTATTTGTTCATTCTTGCCTGTCAATGTAATAAACCTTTTTGTAAAGATATAGTAGGAAAGTTGAGCATGATGGTGCAACGTTTGAGATTGTGCTGTATATTTGCATTGCCATTGCAAGAAGCAAAAAGATGGATTTATATTACTTTTATATTGCCCTCATCGTCAACCATAATCATCCCAAGGAGTTAAACTTTTTTTATAGAAATGTTGGAAAATATCCATGTCGACAAATATTCTTAAAAAAATCCATGAAGTTCAAGAAATTCATCAATGACCAACCTTTCCAATGAAACGACCTATTGAAATATGACACTGCTGTTTTGGTTGATTTTCTATTCCAAAAAACAGAAACAATCTTTAGAAGTAACTTCCAAACACCTTCTCCTAAGTTCAACATGACGGGGTGGGAATTGAACACCATCGATCTCTTATAAGAATGGAAAATGCACCGAATATTCATAAAAGTGATAAACTGCTATCCTTATCGATATCTTCATCTTCATTTTCCATTGAAGCGAACATTAAGAACCTCCATCGATGGGAAGAAAGGTCCCAACAGGCAGTTCAGTTCTCTTTTTAAACACAGAACTTCACAAACAACAAATACACAGAAAGACAAGGATTGTAATTCAAGAAACCAAAGAAGGAAAAGCTAAAGTTTCCACCTTGCGGCCTCTTCCAAACAAGCTCTTACAGGTTCTAAGCTGTCCAATTTGCTTGCAGATCCCAATTCTTGCTGTGGACAAACTGGCCGACATGCTCTTCCTCAGCTTCTTCAACCTCCTTCCAATCCTCAACTTAAACTTGCGAATTCTGATTCTGAGACAAGTGGGTCTCCTCCTACTGCCACTGTTTGCCTGCTCCATTATTTTGTAAATCAAGAACTGAGCTTCCCTATGCTTTTTCTCTTCTGGGTCTTCCTTCTCCATTCTTGAGTAACCACTCTGCTTCCTTGTCAATATAACACTCATTTTCCTCTGCCAGACACAGCCTTACAGAGTGAAAACAGAGAGAAACAGAGAGAAGCTCCCTAGAGAAAATGGAATCAACTCCGGATCAATCACAAACATTCATTTCAGACTGGCCATTCCTTAAATATACATTAAGAGAGAGAAAAAGAGTCATAGAATGATGTGTATGGTAACAGAAAATGCCTGCATAATGTAGTTATTTGTTAAATCAAATAAAAGTTAAGGGCAGAGAAAACCGACCATGCGTCATTCCTTTCTCAGCAAAAACCTACTCTTTTTTTTTTCTTTTTGTTATTATTAGCATTGTTTTTTTAGATAGGATTCGAATCTCTTATGAAAATTTAAAGCCAATTGAATTTTGTTTAGTGAAATGTCACAAATGGGATGGCGTTTTAGAGTCTTCTCCTTGTAATTTCATGAAAGTTGAAGAATTTATAATATTTAATGAAGTTCAACTTCCTTCAGACATTTTTTATAGATCATGTGGAGGATTAGAAAATGAAAAATGATAATGTCAACCACACACCACATTTATGGGATTCAATTATATATTAAAAAAATGGGAAAATTGCAAGTAAACAAATAGAAGAAATGCCAAATGGCCCAAAAACCAAAAACATTATTTATTTATAATCAAAACTCCAATCTGTTATTTTGAACTTTCTGCAAAATTTATTCTGTTTATTGTTCATTGTTCATCATTCATCAATCTCTATAAAAAAGAAAGATGAGAAGAATAGAAGATTGAAACTGGGCTTCTGTTAACAATTAATGATGATGGGTAATTGTGCAAAGCATGTGATTGAGTAGGCTGGATAATTATGGAGCTGTCTCGGGTGTGAATCTTTTCTATGTTAAGCTTTTGGAAACACATAAATTATTGCATTATTGCAAATAAGCTATGGTTCTGCATTGGAAAAAAAGCATATAATAAACAGAATAATTATTGTAAAAAACTATGAACCAGCTGCCAATAGAGTCAGCAAGTAAGCCAAGCGAAGCCGCCCGAATGAACAATGAACAAACTTTGTGGATCCATGTGGCAATATTTAATTCGCTGCATCGGTCACCAGCTGGTGAGATACAAAGTCAAAAGATCCGACCTGTGTGAAGCCTGTCATGTACTGAACAGACAAAGACTTGGCTGATGCCTTAAGCTTTCTTGAAGAGTCAGTAGAATTATTGAAAATTTTTGGAAATTGTCATGTTCATTTATTGGGTTTCCATTATTAGTTCTTTGAATCAATCAAAAAATTCCGTTTTAATTTTGTGTTTAATAAGTAGGTAAAATTTGAAGAAGGTTGATGAATCAAAAATCTATTCAATACTTCTAAAATTCAATAATCTATTATGTTTAAGCACGAGATTCACACTCAAACGTCTCGTGAATCTCAATGGAGAAAAGACCTGTAAAATAAAGTGAACACTAACGTTCAAGTCAATAGAGGTTCGAACTAATTTCTTTTCAATTGAATCGAGATTCATACCTATCTATAAGCCTATTCACTTTAAGTATTTACAGATAGTAACTCACAACCGATCATTAATTGTCCACAATTTCCTCTCCCAAGATAGTAACATACCCTAGAGATCATTGGTGACATCCGTTTGAGGATCGCCATACATAACTATGCTGCACAAAATTTACTTGATGTTTGGTGGTGCAATTAGGCGATCTTCGTTTGAGACTTGGAATATAGTTCGGACACTCGACTTATAGTTCGGAAGCATGCCGTTGGACTCCTCCGATGGCAACACGTGTCCAATTCGGAATTAATCCTTCATCATATTAGAAACAAAATTAGAATTTATTTCTTGTAACACCTCTATCTCTAATGTGAGGCACTATTTGTAATGGTATCACCTTAGAAATAAAGTTATTATGTCCATGTTCAATGGGAAGGAAGCACAGGATCCACATCCATTAATATATGTTACTTTTTGCCCACCATGAGTGGTTCAGAACAAGCTCACAAGGAACATTAAAAGAGGGAGTTGACCAAGTGTCTGAGCTTTCAGCGTCAGATTCTTAACTTTGAGTAGAGAGTTTTGACAAACAGAGCACGCTCTTGGGCTTTGTCTTATTTTGTATTTGCTTTCATCTTCGTGCATGTCGTCTGCAAGCATGCTCCTTAACTTTTTTTTTTTTTTTGGCAAATTAAATATGCAGAAAAAGTAAGAAAATGATGATGTCTGTTTAATGGCGTGAGGTGTTCTTATGAAGGAGTTGACTTTTGAGCATGTTGATGTTAGCAATGACACAGACAGAGTAACATAGAAATCTGTGAAAAAAACATATGACATCGCTGGCCAATTTTCATGTCAAAAGTACAGTAATGGAGAAACAGGCAGACTGATTACAGGTCGATGAGACAAGATTTGACAAAAAGATGGCGTCTTGATTGTGGTCGAATTAGGAATTGCTTGGATGGATGAAGTTCAGTTTATTTAGGGTTTAAAATACAATAGATTCATGAATCCTTCTGCAATCAAATGAATTATGGTCTCCTTGAACAATTCTTTGAAGTCCCCAAAATAATTAATTTTTGGTTAAATTACACGTTCGATTCTTAATTTTCACTCAAAATTGTGTCTAATAAATTTTTAAATTTAAAAAAGTGTTTAATAAATTCTGAATTTAAAAAAGTGTTTAATAAATTCTGAATTTAAAAAATTGTTTAATAAATTCTGAAAGCACAGCTGCATCTCAACCATGTTGCATAATCGTAACACAAACCCAAAATCACAAATCGTAACACAAACCCAAAATCACAAATTGGGTGGATTGCTTGTATGCCCACAGGACAATCCTCTTCACAAATTGGGTGGATTGCTTGTATGCCCACAGGACAATCCTC